TGGCCCAGGCCCGCGGCTCCGCGGCCCACACCCGGTCCCCCCGGAGGTGGGGGACATCTGCCTCCCGGCCCGGGACACAGCCTCCTCCCGACGCCCGCGCCCCAGGACCAGCCCTGCTCCCTTCAGGAGACACACCTCCGCCCTCGGGGCACCCAGTGCCCTCGCGTGCAGCTGGCCTGGCTTCTGTGTTTACATTCCCTCTCCAGCCCTTTCCCAGGCCTGGCTCTTTGCCCCAGGCTGCCCCAGCCAGGGACCCAGTCCTGCCTGAGGCCACCTATCCGGGGGGGAATGCCCCCCCACCAACGTGCAGGTGTTCTCCACACCTGTAGCCCCAGGCACCCTTAAAGCAACCACAGCATCCCGGAGACCTGCAGGGCAACCTCCCACTCTTCAGATGGGAAAACCAAGGCCCTGGTAGACCCCACAAGGCTCAGCTTGGCTCTCTCCTGCCCAAGGCGCCCAGGGCTGTGTCTCCAGGGAGCTCCTGAGACTGCCCTGAGGACAGGTTTTGGTTTTTTTAAGAGACAGCTGGGAGGTCAGGCTCTAGAACCCAAGGTTACCACTTTCCAGCTCTGTGACCTTGAACTGGGTACCCGACCTGGCAGAGCCTCAGTTTGCTCACCAGGAAAACTGGACAACTGACACCCACCTCGCATATCTTGGGTGGCCCTGGGTACCTTGCTGGGAAGTCAAATGGTAGAGGCAGGGGGCGGCCCGTGTCTTCTGTCCCCTTCCTCAAGGTACGGGGGACCCCTCTCCCCAGCTCCGGAAGCAGAAGGTGAGTTGTGCCCTCACCACCCCAGGTCAGGCAGCAGGCTCCTGGAGCCTCTTCTGTCCCCTTTCCTACCACCAGGACATCTCCCCAGAGGGCGACGCTGACCCAGATGGTGGCCTTGACCTGGAGGAATTTTCACGCTATCTGCAGGAACGAGAACAGCGCCTTCTCCTCATGTTCCACAGCCTTGACCGGAATCAGGACGGTAATGCTGGCCTTTGGGCTGTGGGGCCCTGGAGACGCCAGTGGGGTTAGAACCAGCAGCACTGGGAAGTGGGGAGGGCTGCTTCTCCCCGATGACTCACAGGCTATTTTGGGAGCGTACCTCACCCCCAGCGAGGTGGTTCCAGGCCCAGCCAGCCCAGCCCACCTCCTTTTCTCTTCTGCGGCGGGACCCTTAGATTTTTCTCGGGGACAAAGATCCCTCGTACTGTTCCTGGATTCTCTGAGGCAGAGACGCCCCTCCCTCATAGCCTCATCTGGGTTGCAAATATTGCCTCTTGATCCCCTGTGGCATAGGGTGTCCTGTAATTATCCTTAGATTCATTCATTCATTCCTTCATTCATTCACGGAATAGAAGACCCTCCCAATGTTGACGAGTTCTACCTCTCTGATCAGGTCAGAGATCCTCCCACAACCCTGCCACAAGCATCACTTTGGGTTTTCGGATCGCCTGGTCTTGCTACACTGCCCCCATTCCAAGCTGTCCTGATCTCAGTCCTGGAGTCCTCCGGGGCTCCCCCACCCACCCACCCACCCATAACCTTTCCCATCTTGGGTCCCCTCCCTAGGTCATATCGATGTCTCTGAGATCCAGCAGAGTTTTCGAGCTCTGGGCATTTCCATCTCGATGGAGCAGGCGGAGAAAATTCTGCACAGGTGAGTCACTTGGGGTGCAGGATCCCAAGTAACTCAGGTACCCTGTGACACCCCCCGCCCAGCCACCTTGATCGTCTGGGTCCCAGATCCAGCCCCAAGGAGGATAGAACTGAGAGGTTGGGGCCAGTCTTCTCATCTCCCTGAACCTCGTTTTACGCCTCTGTAATATAAGGAATCCACACAGAACAGCCCGTGGAATGCTCTGTGTGCAGTAGCTCGCCCTACCTCCCAAAGCTGCAAAACCTAGCAGAATCCCACCCTAGCCCACCCCAGTCCAGCCCAAGCGCTGAGCCTGTCCCTACCCCCAGCATGGACCGCGACGGCACGATGACCATCGACTGGCAGGAATGGCGTGACCACTTCCTCTTGCATTCGCTGGAGAACGTGGAGGACGTGCTCTATTTCTGGAAACATTCCACGGTGAGATGGGGGCGGCTTTCTCAACCTGAAGGCCATGCCCTCTTCTGCGTGGGTGGTGGGGGGGGAGTCCTTGTTCTGGTCTCCCCAGGGCTTGGAAGGGCTAGACCAGAACTCTCTAGAAGAAGGTATGGGTGGCTGCTGAGAGATGTAGCTGTGTTCATCTCTTCCTCCACTTGGGGTTCAGGGGCCCCCCGTGAGACCTCTCTGCTCCCTGATTAGAGCCCTACCTGGGGGCTTCTGGGGACAGCTTGTGGGGGCTGGAGGTGGGGGGCAGAAAGATCTCACCAGATAGGGTATCAGGCCTCCCACCCTCAGCCCACACAGCTCCCATTCTGCTGGGTTCTCTTTGCCTGGGTGAAGGATTTTGCTGCTGAACAGAAAAGTTGGAAAGTCGCTGTTTGGGGAGGGTCCAGTGGACCCATTAGAGGTGGTGGGGGTTTGCTCTAGACCCCTGGATCTTGGGCAGGAAATTCACAAGTGATGCATCCAGTAGGATCTGATGGCATCTCGAAGGGATCCATCCATGGGAGCTGGTGAGATCCAGAGACTCCCACCTCAGGGGATCCATGGGACCCTTGGCTGGGACTCCCGTAGGTAGACTCTAAAGGGAGGTGATTCCTGCGGTGGCGGGGGAGTCCCTGGGGAGGGGATCCCTGTGAGATCTGGCGAGGCCAGGGCCCTATCCTGAGAGGTTCCCGGTAGGATCTTGTGTGGCCCTGGAGGGATCTTCTGGAATCCTTATATGGGAGACCCTTGAGTGGATTCCTTCAGATCTGGTTAGCTCTGGAGGGAATTTTTTGCTGTTGTTCCCCCAGAGACAGGGTCTGGCTCTGTTGCCCAGGCTGGAGTGCAGTGGCATGAATGGAGCTCACCGCAGCCTCAAACTCCTGGGCTCAAGTGATCCTCCTGCCTCAACCTCTGGGATGACAGGTGCACCCCACCTGTAGCTTCTAAATGTTTTTTGTAGACTGGACATAGTGGCCTATAATCTCAACACTTTTGGGAGGCAGAAACAAGAGGATTGCCTGAGTCTAGGGGTTCAAGACCAGCCTGGGCAACTTGATAAGACCTCATCTCTACAATAAATAAAAATATTAGCCAGGTACCTGTAGTTCCAGCTACTTGGAAGGCTGAGGTAGAAGGATCACCTGAGCCCAGCAGGTCAAGGCTGCAGTGGCCATGAGCATATCACTGCACTCCAGCCTGGGTGACAGAGTAAGATTCCAACTCAAAAAAAAAGAAAAAGGTTTTTTTTTGTAGAGATGAGGTCTCACTCTGTCACCCAGGCTGGTTTCAAACTCCTGGCTGCCAGCAGTCCTCTGGCCTCAGCCTCCCAAATTTCTAGGATTGCAGCTGGAGGGAACTTTATGTGACTGATGCTTGAATAGGATCCCTCAGTGGGATTTGGTACCAGTCTCCAAGAGGGATGTGAAGTCCTTACAGGCAGACCACTAAGTGGGATGTCTTAGTGGCATTTAGCAGGATCCCAGGGGGCTCTCCTGGGCTCTCCAAGCAAGACTCATTGGTGGACTCTTTGGGAGTCCTGAGCTTCATGGAGGAGACTCTCCTGTTTAGGACTAAGTCCATCTCTCCACCCTGTCGTAGCATGACAACCCCAGCTCCTGTATCCTCAGGTCCTGGACATTGGCGAATGTCTGACGGTACCAGATGAGTTCTCGAAGCAGGAGAAACTGACTGGCATGTGGTGGAAGCAGCTGGTGGCTGGCGCAGTGGCAGGTGCCGTGTCACGGACAGGCACAGCCCCTCTAGACCGTCTCAAGGTCTTCATGCAGGTGAGGGTCCCTGGAGAAACCCATCCCCTCCCCAAGCCTGGGACCTAGCAGTGGACCTCAAAACGCCTTTGTCTCCCCATGTAGGTCCATGCCTCAAAGACTAACCGGCTGAACATCCTGGGGGGTCTACAGAGCATGGTCCGTGAGGGAGGCATCCGCTCCCTGTGGCGTGGCAATGGTATTAATGTACTTAAGATTGCACCTGAGTCCGCTATCAAGTTCATGGCTTATGAACAGGTGAGGGCAGATGTGCAGAGGCGTGTACAAGCCTGTGCTGGATGTGAAGACTGTGGGATTGGCCTGGGAGTGGGGGATGAATCTAGGCCCCCAGGAGTAGGCGTCTGCTCCTCTGCATGACACCCACAGGAGGCCTGTTCTGTGGAAGCTGGGAGAATGGTGGAATGCACAGATGGTTCAACCCCCGGGTCTTACCCGTGTGTGTCTCCCACCTCAGATCAAACGGGCTATCCTAGGGCAGCAGGAGACGCTGCACGTGCAGGAGCGCTTTGTGGCTGGCTCCCTGGCCGGTGCCACAGCCCAAACCATCATCTACCCCATGGAGGTGAGAAGAAGGGACGTTGGCAGGTGCCTCATTGCAGGGTGGGAGGCCCACCATGCCCATTTCACCATATACATTGGAATCATGTCTTTGCCTCTCCCAGATTGGAACTGCAGCTCATTAGAGCAACACTATTTCATTCCTAGCCTGTCTGGGTATTCTAATTTAAGATGTCATTTCTGGGGACAATAGTGTTGGTTATCGCTATTTGGATGGTAGTCATGGGTGCCAGCTGTTATGAAATGCCTCCCCTAGGGACAGAATACTTGTTCACATGGGCCTGATGGTGTTGCTGTTTTCAGAGAACAGGCGTCTAGGTGTCCCTGTTTTCAGAGAAATTATTTCAGGCTTCAGGTTGTGCCGTATATTCATAGGGTTACAGAAGTGACAGAACATTTAAGCCACCTCGATGAAGTCTAGAGATGAGCAGTTCAGGCCTGGGATGGTAGCTTCAGAGTGTTAGAGACCCAGGTTCTTTGCATCTGTCTTGTTGGTCCACTACCTCATGGACCAACATGGCTGCTTATGCTCTGCTCATCACATCCCACATTCCAGCCAAGAAAGAAGAAGCAACAGAGGAGGAAACACCTCCCCCACCAAGGATGTTTTCTGAACCTCACGCAGACCTCCTTTTCCTTGTTTTTTTTTTGGCTAGGACTTAGTGACATAGCCACACACCTAGGCTATCTGGGAAATGGAGTCTCTATTTCTATTGGCTTGCTGAAAATACCACCTTCTGTTATGAAGGAGAAGGGGAACAAGAGATTGAGGGATATCCGCGGTAGCTGCCACATGCCACTCTGGTAGGCATAAGGTTTGGGGATAGCAGAAGATTCCGAAGGAAGCAGTTTTTAAAATGCAGTTATTCTTGGCTGGAGCCTGTAATCCCAGCACTTTGGGAAGTCAAGGAAGGAGGCTCACCAGAGGCCAGGAATTCGAGATCTGCCCGGGCAACATTGTGAGATCTCGTCTGTATTTAAAAAAAAAATGCAATTATTCTCAGGGCCTCTGCTTTCAGGAGTAGCTCTTTCTAGGTATCCGCACTGCTGGATGTAGCAATTTGGGGGGGCAGTTTTCCCAGGGATAACCAGGCTCTCCCTAGGTGCTGAAGACGCGGCTGACCCTGCGCCGGACAGGCCAGTACAAGGGACTCTTGGACTGCGCCCGACGGATCCTGGAACGGGAGGGCCCCCGCGCCTTCTACCGCGGTTACCTGCCCAACGTGCTAGGGATCATCCCCTATGCGGGCATCGACCTGGCTGTCTATGAGGTCTGTGGGCAGCCTGCCCCTCCCCTCCCCCCTCTGGGATCTGCCCACGGGACACCCCTTCTTTGGGGCTGACTCAGTTGACCTCCCTTAGCCGGAGAAGGACAGGTATAGGAGAAGCGCCTTGGGGTCCTGGGGAGCCCCTCCAGGAACTGGACCCTCCCCCCCTCCACCTACCGCTGCGGGGACCTCTGGTTTGCAGTTCAGCTTTCCCAGGTCACCTGCAAGTCGGGGCCAACTCTAGGTCATTGAGTCATGGCAGCAGGCAAAGACGTGCCCAAAGGATGCCCGACTTCTCCAAGGCATGTGTTGGACCCAGCCTCTGTCTCCAGGCTGGTGTCTTTTTTTCTTTTTTTTTTTTTTTGAGTTGGAGTCTCACTCTCTCACCCAGGCTGGAGTCAGTGGCACGCTCAGGGCCACCTCATCTTTGAGCTGCTGGGCTCAGGCAATCCTTCTGCCTCAGCCTTCCAAGTAGCTGCAACCACAGGCGTGTGTCACCACACCCAGCTAATTTTTTAAATTTATTGTGGAGATGAGGTCTCGCCAAATTGCCCATGCTGGTCTCGAACCCCTGGGCTCAGACAGTCCTCTTGCCTCTGCCTCCCAAAGTGCTGGGATTACAGGCGTGAGCCACTAGGCCAAGCTGACTTTATTTTTTATTTATTTTTATTTATTTATTTATTTTTTTGAGTCGCCCAGACTGGAGTGCAGTGGCCGCTTCTGGCCACCGCAGCCTCGACCTGCTGGGC